CGATCTGTCTTCATCATCACATAAAAAAGGTGGTAATAGTCTTTCAAAAAAGTCAAGCTCAAAGTCACTCAGAAGTACCAATAATAACGGTGTTGTCGCCATCACTACTGTTGATAATGTTGTTGCACAAAAAGATGAACAACAAGAAGAAAGACCAAGAAATAGTAGAAAATCAAGCAAAGAAGCTTATAAAGAAACATTGTCTATATTGAAAGATTTACAACAAGTAGAAAGTGAACTTGACACTCATACAAATCAACTAATTGGTAGAATGAAAAAGTTATTCGATGTCCCTGGTGAAAATAATACTACTAAAAATAACGTTGATGTTAATATTAGCACAATATCAAATGACTCTTCCTCATCAAGTTATAATAACAATCTTGGTGAAAAACTAAAACGTTCTCCGTCAGCGTCTAAACGTTCTTCCGCATTGACTCCTACCACCACTTCTAAACCTTTATTAAATCGTCGTATAAGTGCACAAGATTCTGCCAAATCTTCTCCAAATTCTTCATCATCAATGATAAATGGTTCAACAGGCAGTAATAGTAGTAGAAGAACTAGTAATTCTAGTAGTGGCTCATCATCAAGTAAAACAAGTAATACTAATAATAACATTTATAGTCACGGTCGTTATGCTAGTGAAACTCTTGCTATGGTGAGTTCAAATCTTACATCACCACCATCATCAAAAACCTTAAAAGGTGCAAAATCTGAAGAAAAATTAAATTCACCGCCTAATTCAAATTCTTCTTCATCTTCTAAACATAAGAAAAAAGATAGTAGTAGCCATAATAATAGTAAAAGAAAACCTTTTGTCGACACTTCTACATCAACAAAAACTCGTGCAATGCAACAGTTAGAGGACTTTACTTCATTCAGAGACTTTAATAATGAACCTTCTAGTACTAAAAGATTAAGCGGTAATAATAATAGAAGTAAAAGTAGCAATAGTAATCGTTTAAAAAAATTTAACAATGAAAAATCAGTTGTTGATAAAAATAATTTAATTATTATAGGTTCGTATGGTGATGATATTAAGTCTGATATACATGGTGATACTCCTTCTCCTTTACTGCCTGGTATCACCAGATCAAAAACAATGCCCATAACGCCATTGCAAAATAATAATAGTAATAATAATAATAATGACAATAAAAGAAAAATAGCATATATATATATAGGAGAAAGAGAAAGAGGTAATTTGGGGTGTAAGTGTATGAAATTTTAAAAAAAAATCCTTTGTTCTATACTTCTAACTAACAACAAACAGATCCAACCTGTCGTCTGATAATCTTATCACTAGATAGTGTTCCCGACGTCTAATTTAATTTAATTTAAATTTTAACAATTATTTTATAATAATAGATATATGTATGTATGGGTGTGATTGTATAAATAAAAACTATTGTTATTAATTATTGCTAACTAAAATATTAATATATATAGATATACATATAAACTATGATATATTATTAAATTATTATTATTTGTATTTCACATACCGTTCCTCTTTTTCTACCTACAGCTTTCTTTGAGGACGATGCATGGCCATCTGTACTTCTATTGTTATCTCTTTTACTACTACGTGGTGGTGGTGTTTTACTATCCTCAAAATCACCTTTTGGCGCTGTTATACTTACAATTTTTTTATCAGAAGAAACATTGTTCGT